ACAATGAACGTGCCCCATGAGTAGGTTCTTGAAAAAGCAGTAAACACAGTGCAGGACAAAAAATCTCCCGAACAAGCAAAAACAGGCGCCCCCCCCCACACACACACACCACACACAAAACCACAGCCAGTATCTAGTAAGTGTAGGAAAATTTGGGGCTTTCTGGGGGACCAGGGGGTGAATCTGGAGACCCAGTCCCATCCCTGATTCTTGTCCCTGCTGGTCCCATTGCTGTAATTTGTCCAGCCGAGTGGTGTCATCTCAGACTTAGGTCTTTGCCTCTCGGGAGTGGTGACATGTACTCCAGATTTTTGCTTCTGCTGTTCTGTGCACCCTCAGCCCCCGGCTAGTCCTTTAATTCTATCAGTCCCCTGGCTTTCAGTCACAAATATCTGCATCTGGGCAGGGTTTTTTTCTGGGGTACATTTATTTATTAATTAAATATATTTTTACTGATTTCAGAGAGGAAGGGAGAGGGACGAGAGATAGAAACATCAATGATGAGAGAGGATCTTTGATTGGCCGCCTCCTGCACGCCCCACTGCCCCCGCCCCCCGGGGATCTATTCCACAACCCGGGCATGTGGCCTTGACCGGAATTGAACTTAGGACCCCTCAGTCCTCAGGCTGACGTTCTATCCACTGAACCAAACCAGCCAGGGCATGGGGTACCTTAAAAAAATTATATATATATATATTGATTTTAGAGAGGAAGAGAAAAGGGAGAGAGAGAGATAGAAATATCAATAATGAAAGAGAATCACTGATGGCTGCCCCCTGCATGCCCCACACTGGGGATTGAGCCTGCAACCTGGGCATGTTCCCTGACCAGGAATCAAACCATGGCCTCCTATGGTTCATAGGTCAACACTCAACCACTGAGCCACAGTGGCCAGGTCTGGGGTACTTTTTTTACCAGCATCCAGTGGCCTCATTACCCAAGATTTTTATTTTGTAGGAAATGCACTTTTTTTTCAAGTCACTTGCTCATTTGAGGACTTCGGTGGCTTTCTGCCCCAGCTACCCCAGTGACCCTACAGGTCTTTCTCTTTCCAGCCCCTGTCCATGCACCACTCCCCCAAGACTGTGCTTTGCCCACTGGGGACATTTTCTTTCATTGCAGCCTTCTGAGGTCACCCAAGTGAGCGAGGCCGTTCAGGCAGCTGCACATGTTTTTGGCATGTCCCTACAGCTACAGCTGGGAAGGAGAGAGAGCAGGGACGCAAGGCTGACTCACTGAGAGATCATGTGCCTGGGCCCACAAGGCTGTCCTTGGAGAAGCTGTATGAAATCAGCCTTCGGACAGTCCTGGGATTGAAGGAGTACAAGTGAATCCACTGATTGCTGTGTCCCCTTGGCCAATGTTACCCTGCAGGGCAGACACTGCAGGTGGCACATGTGTGGGTGCTGAGTGGGTTCCCTGGCAGTGTCCATAGGAAAGCTCCAGCATCAAGAGATAGGCCAAGGGCAAGAGGATGTAAAGTGTTGCATAAGGGGGTGGGGGTGTCTGTTACAGCAGCGATTTTCAACAGCTGTACAACAATAATTTTTTAAGACACACAATACCTGACACAGTGCCCTCAATGGTCCTGCGGCAGCTTTTCCATATGAATGGCCTGTCCTGGCTCAGCCTTCCGCCATTGCTAAAATCTCCCAAACAAGCAGCAACTGGTGTCAGCATGCCCAAACCTTTCAGTAAAAGGCCCAAGACCTGGCACTAGCACCAGCCTGCCTTGCTTCACAGCTGGGCCTCACCTGAGCACTTCCAAGCCCAATACAAGTAGCAGCTGCAGACCTCTCTGCAGCTCCTACTTTGCATCTCCTGGGAGGCCCCAGAGCCAGTGCACCCGGTGGACAGATTCAGACCAATCCAGATTACAACTCTGCACATCCATAGTGACACACTCATTGAGAGCCAAAGCCCCACCGAAGCAAGGCCTGCTCCACAGGGATGTCTCCTGCACCGCAGCTCGTCCACTGTACTTGCAGCTGGTCCTCACAGCCAACTGGCCTGGAGGTCAACTCCTCCCACTGATGCCAACAGCAATCAAGGCTTAACTACAAAAAGACTGTGCTCTCAGCCCACACAGGGACGCAACTAGAGTGCCCAGCTCAGGTGACTGGCATGGTTGAGCCACTAGCACCCAAAGGGCCAAAAAGAGGAAACCAAAGAGGTCCACACCAAGACACATCATAATTAAAATGCCAAGGGTTAAAGACAAAGAGAGTATCTTAAAAGCAGCAAGATAAAAGCAGTTAGTTACCTACAAGGAAGCACCCATTTGACTGTCAGCTGATTTCTCATCAGCAACTTTGCAGGCCAGAAGGGCGTGGCAAGAAATATTCAAAGTGATGAATCGAATCGTAAGGACCTACAACAAAGATTACTCTACCCAGCAAAGCTATCATTTAAATTGAAGGTCAGATAAAGAGCTTCATAGACAAGAAAAAGCTAGAGTTCATCACCACCAAACCAGTATTACATGAAATGGTAAAGGATATTCTTTAAAAAGAGGAGGAAGAAGAGATAAAATATCTGAACAATAAAATGGCAACAAATACAAATCAACAATTGAATCTGAAAATCAAAATAAACGAACAAGAAATACAATGAACAAAATAGACTGCTGAATACAACACAATCAGAGGCATGGAAGCATCGAGCAGGCTGATGAATCTCAGAGGGAAGGGGGTGGGTGGGAAGAGATTAACCAAAGACCTTACCTGTGGG